ATTTCAGCTGATAGATCAAATTCGGATTCTGGTAGACAAGTAAACGAGGATAGAATTATGACCATTAGTAGGGTTAATAATGAATCGACGCCAACTGCCAGCACTTGCATAAAAATTTTATTTTTACCTTGCTATAAAACAGAAAAAAAATTAATTTCAATGTTTAACGTAGCTCTTAAATACATGGAAAGATGCGGGTTTGCAATTGTATAATTGGAAGAGAGATACAATTTATCAAAAATTTAATAAATTTTTTTTGGTACTACTTTGTGATATAAAGTCGTGTGTGTTGGAATTTTAGTTAAAAATTAAAACAATTCATAAACATATATTGTTTGGTGTCATTCCCTGCAACAACTGGCTAATTATGTGCAGTAAAGTGGTGGTTTAAATTAATATAAGAATCAATGGTTCTACAAGTTAATTTAGACCTTCTTTTATTAATTTTCAAAATTAAACAAACTTTTAAATAAAAATACAGTCTTATGCAACCTTTTACAACAACAAGTCTATTTACCTCTCCATCTTAAACAACAGCACATTATCGATAAGGTTACGGCATTTGGAAAAAAGCATTCTACAATTGTATTGTATTGCTTAAATTTTTTATCCTTAGCTCAATTAAAAGTATTAACTACATTTACGGATCAGATCCATTAGATGGCCCGGGCTTAGATCAGGTCCATTTGAAGTCCCGTAAAAAGAAAAAAAATTAAAATTCAAATAATTTAAATAAAGATAGATTTATCATCTGAGTGGCGGCCCTATACAAAAACTTTTGTAGAAATACTTTTCTTTGTTTTAAAATTAAACCCTTTATTTTTTTAATGATTAATTTTAATTTATTGTTGTAAGAATCAACATTTTGAAAATGTGTGCTAGTACTACGATCAATAAAGCAATATTAATGACAAACTGTATGATGTTGACATAGATTTGATTCATTTAGTGATCAATAAGATTTCTATTCATCTTTTACTATAATACTACCAGGAATTACAATCAGATTTATTGTAGGTGGTAATAATTCTGCAGAACAATTTTCGATAATAACAGAGTAACCAAAAGCCGGAACAAAAAAAGTATCAAAAATGACTAAAGCTCAGCACACAGGTATATGTCGACTACGATGATTCTTTACATTAAAATTTCGTCTCGTCGAGTTGCACGATAATGTTGAGCTCGCCAAGTTTAATAGGACGATCTACAAAATATTGTCTAATCTTTAAGGCTATAATTTTTTTAAAGCTGATAATGGCTCTTTTTAATCTAGGCCAGCTCTATAATAGCTGTAAACCCAAGATCTAATAAAAAATAATAGATGTCCTTTAAAATAGTTTTAAGATTAATGCTCAATGATAAAAGAATAGAACCATTATCTTATAGACAGAGTGGTTTGATGATTGATACATGCATATTGCATGCATTCCCACTTTAATTCATCTATATGTCGTTTACTAATATTGAAGGCCATATTTATATTGTAATAAATGCAAAATTGCTGATTTTTTAAAATGTTATGTATCTAATAAATAACATACTTATGATTTCGTAATTGCTCATCAAAGCAATTTCGTCTCTTATATTTTGATTCATTTAAGAATTAAAAAAATAGCAAAAATATAAAAAAAACACAAATTAAACTCTTAATTTGTCATAAATTTGGCTTTGATAAATGCATTTAGTGTTAAAACAACCACCATTCTTTTACATAGTATTTTTAAACTCTAGAAG